TTATCAATCCATTCCATTTGGTCCTGTACGAGCCCAAATAAGAAAAAACGAAATATACGTCGAAGATTAAGCGAAATAAAGCGAAACACAGCTATACGAATTAATACGAAGTTATGGATTTTCAGATAAGTTAATTATTATTCTCTTTTTTTAAGGTGGTAAACGTTCTTAATAATTACTGAGGTTGATAAATTATTAGGGAAAAGATCTAAAATAAAAGAGTTTTTGAAAACGTTTGACAATTTTCTTAAATCAGTTGCCACAAATGTCAAAGATTCTGGTATTTTTAATTAAGATGCAGAAGGTTGTAACCTGACAAACCGGGTCCTAACCTAGTTTTACAAATATTTAAAACCTTGGCCTAAAATGCGCCTAGTAGATACCCACGAAGTGATTTTTGTAGGACCCCAAAATTTCGCTTAGAGTTCAATGTGGCTGTAATAGAGGGTCAAAAAAATAAACACAAAAATAAATTAAAAATAGTTTTATTTAAACCTTAGATAAAAGAGACCAGAGATATAACATACACCGGTTTTAAACCTGCGCAAATGTTGCCAATTTCTAAAGAAGGGTTAACGGAGTGGGGGAACTGGGCGGCGACACGCGGCGACCCGAACTCTGTGACATGGACGGGACTTTGTTTATTAGCATCTTAATGAACTATTAGGTTTATTTAAAAGGAGTTTAATCAAATTTTGTATTATGAAATAAAATTGACGTGATTTTTTAATATCAAACAGATGCCACGACATTTTATGTAAAGAGAAGACCTTTTATAGAATATTTCGTTAGCGTTTATTTACTACGAATTTTTCTGTAAGAGATTACAGTAAAATGTTGAAATAGAATATATTGTTAATAGAGCAAAAAATGTTACTCATTGTCTACGAGTATTATAAAAATAGCATGTGCGCAGGCTAATACTGCAAATCTACCCTTATTAATTGAACATTATATTTTTTCTACGGCTATTACATAATAATAAAAATTAGTCAAAATGAGAAAATGCTGTTTTGTATTGTAACCTCAGAAAAAAGTATATTAAGGCTTCTTTCTTTAAGAATATTAATTATTATAAAGGATGAGTCACATAAAACTCTAGAAATGCATATGTCTGAAACAAGATAACATTTTAAAATTTAAATCTATTAAAAGTCATTTGGTCGCTAGGGATGAGTGATTATTGAAATAAATTATCGATCATTGAAAATAATCGATTATTTTCGATCAATCGATTATTTTCGATCAATCGATTATTTTCAAACAATATATTTTTTGTCATTTCCTTTAAAATCGACTACTTGATTATCTTTGAAAAATCAAAAATAATCGATTAATTAAAAAGCCAATTAACCGATAAATCAGTGTTTACAAAATATAAAATAAATAGAATTATAGTTTATTTTAAATAATCAATTATTTTCAAATAAACCATTTTTTTTCGTCAATGGAAACAGATTATTCGATAATCTTTGAAAAATTGAAAATAATCGATTAATCAAAAATAATCAATTAATTAAAAAGTCGATTAACTGAAAAATCGATTTAAAAAAAAAACAGAATGATCGATTATTTTAAATAATTGATTATTTTCGATCAATCGATTATTATCAATAATCTATTTTTATTGTATTTCCTTTAAAATCGTTAATTCGATTATCTTTGAAATACCGAAAATAATCGATAATTCCAAAATAATCGCCTAATCGAAAATAATCAATTAATTAAGAAGCCGATTCTATGATAAATCGATTATTACCAATAATCTATTTTATTGTATTTCAAAAATAATCGATTAATTAAAAAGTCGATTAACTGACAAATCGATTTTAAAAAAAAAACAGAATGATCGATTATTTTAAATAATCGATTATTTTCGATCAATCGATTATTATCAATAATCTATTTTTATTGTATTTCCTTTAAAATCGATAATTCGATTATCTTTGAAATACCAAAAATAATCAATAATTCCAAAATAATCGCCTAATCGAAAATAACCAATTAATTAAGAAGCCGATTCTATGATAAATCGATTTTCCAAAAAATAAAACGAATTATCTATTATTTTCTAATAATCCTTTTTTCATATTTCCTTTGAAATTGATTATTCGATTATCGAAAATAATTGATTATTAAAAAGCTGATTATCCAATAAATCGATAATTTTAAAAAAATAACAAAAATATCGATTATGTAAAATAACAGATTATATTCAATCGATTATTTTCATATAATATCTCGAAAATAATCAAATAATTAAAAAACCGATTAAACGATAAATCGATTATTTTGAATAAATCTACTTTTTTTGTATTTCCTTTAAAATCGATTAATACATTATCTTAAAAAAAAACGAAAATAATTTATTAAAAACAGCGGATAAATCGATTTTCATTAAAAAATATCAGAATTATCGATAAATCGATTATTTTTGTAACCCCTATCGGTCGCTTGCTTTTATCTGAGCATTTAGCTCCAAAATTTAGAGATTCGGATTTTTTGATCCAATTATCTTTGAAATCGCATTCGATTATATAATAAATAAATATGGCTAAATTTTGGATTTTTTTTAGTAAACGAAAATGTTGTTCGAGTTGTTTAGGGGTTTGTAATGTAACATTTTATTAACGTGACTAAGGGTCGATTCCACCGTTGTGTTAAACGAAGTTTAAAATTACATTTTTACATTAACACTGTCATTTTAATCTCCTGTAACTTTAGTATTTTTTTTTTGCTTATACCAGATTACTTTGTTTTAAGACTGAAAATTCAATGTCACTTTCGATTTGACCGCAAATAAGATGAACCTTGAAATTTTAAGTAGGTCATCTAATATTCTTATAAAAATAAAATTTAGCTAGCAACTATGATTCTTTACCTCTTATTTATCTACCAAAAAGGGCTAAAAACTACCTTTAGAAAACATTCTTATAAAACTGCTTTTTAAATACAAAATTTCGTTAGCAATAATGCCTATTTACTTTTTATATAAATTAAATGTTCAAAATGTTACCCTTTTGTAAATTTATGTAAGTAATATGAAATTTGAGTTTGTGATGCTTAATATTTATTGAAACCCCTTAATGCGGATCTGAAGTATTCAGCCCAGAGAATCATGGCGCTTTATGTCAAAACGTTAATAAATATTTACCGCTGAAAACGAATATATTCATAACAGTAGTACTTGTATTATAAGTACATACAATTTTTCAAGATACATCGTGACATTTTGAACTTGAAATTAAATAACTAGAACACTTTAAATTGCTAAAATACCAACAAATAAATCAAAAAACAGCTGTCAATGGTGATTAAACTCAGGTGGAGGTGATCGCTGAATGGAAATCGGAGCAATTCGGGTGGCGTCGTGCAACAATGATTTTCAATTGGTGGGTTACTTTGGCTTAAAATAGACAACATGCGCAGTGTGCAATGTTACATCTTCGGTCTCTTTAATCTAAGATTTAAACTTATTTCTTATAGCAGGAAGTTAACAATAATGTTTGTTTATTTTAACATAACACATGTATGGCCTTTTCCATGTCTCATTTCTAACCGAAGGGATTTTAAACTCCCATGAACCGGTGAAAGTATGATGACAGTACTCCAGCACATTTGTTATCCCTTTATAATGCACAATCATACACACTGCTAAAATAATACCTGCATACGTATTGTCAGATATAGTGAAGTTCAGCGGTATCACGAAGAGTATGGCGCGATATGAATATGGGTATTATGTACATATGAAGTTTAACCTCATCTTGCATAACACCTTTCCACTGATATACCAATACCACGGCATAAGAAACAATCGGCAGGCTAACTTGTCTTGGCAGCAACGCTACGCGCACATCTACGCGCACACCGCCATTTTGGGGTCCAACCTCTCAATCAAGCCAGTGGCGTCACTGTCGTCGTTTATATCGACAAAAACAAACAAGTTGCAGCAGCACGGAATCAGTAGCGTGTATCTTAAATTTATTTTGTTTGTGATGATTGTATTATGTAGTTACTGTTATTTTTTTCGAATTATAGATATTTTTTGACACTTTTTATATAGTAGTTGTTTTCCAGTGTTAATTTGTTAACTTTTAAGTGTTTTACTATGTCTGGGCAAAGTTGTGCAGCAAAAAACTATATGAATAAACTGTATTAAAAGATTTTTTCGGTTTCTTAAAGATTTTATTAGGTATGTATGGTATACTTTTAAAAAAATCCTAGTTTATGGGTCAGTTTGTCAGTTATAAAGCTATTAATAAGATGTAGGTAGGTGCCTAGTTAACGTCACGTAAAGTTTAGCGTCAATTTATATTTACTTATGTAGGTATATTATTAAGATTTAAAGTAAAATGTTATATTTTAAACATCTCCCGTATGGAGTTGACAAAATGGAAAAATCTTTATTTTTATTTTAAGGAAAAAGTCATCTGTTGTCAGTGACCCCAGGTTCAAACTAATTGTCCTCCCTGAGTTCACATGGTAGATCCCAGCTCCTGTGCTGTTTTTAATTTTCGAACCGTCTGTATACCAGATTGATTCGTTTTGTTTTTCCCTTTTTTCCCGGCTTTTGGCCCTTTCTGGTATTTGAATATCAAAAGGTTTCCTGAAGTCGTGAATAATGGGCGTTCTATCCGATGGCATTCTTAGTACCGGATTTTGTTTTAATTTCTCTAATATCATTGTGTGGTGTCCTTTTCTCGAAAGTTCCCATCCAAATCCATTAGTAAACAGCCTGTATGCCGCCGCCATAGCCTCCTTCTCCACCACAAGGTGTAGTGGAGGAAGACCTAGCAGTAGCTCAATTGCTGCTGTGGGCGTAGTTCTAAATGCCCCTGTTATTATTAGGCAGTCTAGTCTTTGTACCTTGTCTAATTTTCTGTTAGCTGTTATGCTTTTAGTGTTGTGCCACCATATGACTGATGAGTAAGTTATAACAGGTACTACAACCATAGTCTCTCACTCTTACTTCCATTCTTCAATTATTCTACTACGTGTCTGGTGAAAATGACATAATCACTTTATTTTTTTGTTTCCGTCAACAATTTATGTCAAAAACAATAAATGTCAGCCAACAATTTAGTAGAATTAAGAGTTTCCGACAAAAATTCTTCGAGTTCTAAAGACAGTAAAGAAAGTGACAATCGTTACACGACAGTAACACATGAATGGTTAACGACACCAAAACAAATTTATAGAGGTTCACTCTTGTACGATAATCTACACGGTAGTGGAATATATTTTATTAGCAAAGACGAAAAAATTTTCTACAATGGTTTCTTTTATGCCAATAAACTGGAAGGTTACTGTCAAGTGTTCTATCACAAAGACGGTACCAACTTTCAAGGATTATTCAAAGATAATAGAAGATTTGGACCTGGAGTTTTAACTTATGCAGATGAAAGCCAAGATATTGGTTTGTGGGATGGATTTTCGTTAATGCGCGTGGGAAAAAATAATAATGGTATTCCAACACTTTCCGTGAGCAATGAAGGACATATTAAAATACTAAAATACAGGTAAGCGTAAATAATACCTATATCTACTCCTAATCTATCACCATCATCATCACCACCAACTAAGCTTGGTGTCTGGTTGCGAGAAATAAGAGTTTTGATAACCATTGGAAAGACGTTCATTTTTAAAAAATACATTTTTTTAAACTTACATAGAACTTTTTACCGGAAACCTCATTAAACAACGTTTTTTAATATTAAGGAGTAATAAGAAACATTTATTTAATCTATGGGATGTAGAGGAAAGGAGGATATTCGAATGGTTGTTTATCTCAAATCCACTAGGCTCGTTGTGTATCCTCCTAAGTTGATACGCACCAATTAGCTCGTGAACCAGCCTACAGATTTATTGTATTTGTCAACGTCGCTTAGATGTTCTTCTTTTTATTTGGTGTTAGCCAATTCTCGCTGAACACAAGTTTTCTAATAAGAGCATGCAGCAATCGTAAATGATATGGTCAATCTTCTTCTTAATTTCTCTTACAGAATGCGGAGTCTGACAGCTCCATGTACTGGAGAGGATTCCATACTTGGCAATGACCTGTCAGAATGCCTGTGATCAGGCGCAGATTCTGTCTGGTCATAGTTAAGTATTTGTCTACTGTAGTGTTGTCATGGTAACTTAAGAGCTCCTTGGCAATTGTGCAGCTTCTTTTTTCATCTGATCTTACCTTGAATTTCACAAGAAAATGTTCTTTAGTTAGATTTGTCACTTTAAACGTTGTCAGTCCAATAGAAGGGCCAGGTCCAAAAAGTATTTTTTAAAGTGACCATATTGTCAATGGATACTTTCACCAAAGCTTCTTGACATTATTGTACTCTTTGGGTAACTTCGTGGTATATCTATGGTCTGTCTGCTACCTATATAGATAAACATGTTTCTTCCAGTGATATTGTTTCTGGATTCTGAGCCTTGTTTTGCTTTAGAACCGTCGGCGTAGATATAAATGTACCTGCCATTTTTGGCTCTTCTGTTCTGTTAGAAATTTATATCGCTCATGGAAAACATACAGTGTGTCTATTTATGTTGGAACCACCTAGAATTTTTTTTATTATTGCCAACAAGAATATCACAAAGGTTCCCAGTGTAGAAAAAGGGGAAAAGACAAGCAACATAATGCATCTACCGCAGAAGAGGTTTTTATAATCAATACTAAAGACTGCAATACTAAAATTTAAGAAAGAACGAGTGTAACAACATCTTATTAAGTAAATGAGATGAATATTAAACAAAATATATGGTGCATAGATAGTGGAGCAACATCCCATACATGCAATAACCAAAAAATACGTCTGGCAGACAATAATACAACTAACTCTTTGGAAACAGGGACAATGAAATTACTGATAGACAGCGGCCTATTGGAAACCAATCAAATTGAGTCTACAAAATACGTTATACGTTCCTGATTTAAAAACTAATTTAATTTTAATATTAGAAGCTGCAGTAAATGGGAGACATACACGTTTTTTGAGAAATCGTACAAAAATTATCAATCCAAGTGGAGAAGTTTTAGTTCTAGCCAATATAAATTGCATGATCTAAATGAACATCAAGAATTATCAGCTATCGCAGAAATAAAGTCAGATCTAAAAACATGGCATCAGCGATGGACAACTAAATGAAAAGGATTTGAAAATGCTTGAGTCAAAGAACCTGGTTCATGAAATAAAATTCAACATTTCAGAAAGTCTTTAGAGGCAAGCAGACAGCAATTAGTTTTCACAAGTCAGATTCTAGAGCTGAACATTTCCTATAAATTATTTATTCAGACCTACGCTCCTTTTATTGACGACACGTCAAGATCGGTAGACACTTACTTTCTTAAAACCAAAGGCAAAGTAAAAGATGCTTTTCTTAAGTTTAAAACACATGTAGGGAAAAAAACAGAAAAATTAAGGTGTTGAGAACAGATAACAGTTTATAAGACACGGGAGCAGAGTTTTCAAAATTTTTAGGCCAAACCGGCATAACAGGACAATACCACAGCTTAAACAATACAGCTCCACAACTCCGTGTCGGCGTCTTTGATCTGGCGGTCGAGAACCAAGCAAGACGGAATGGTGCTATCTCTGTTAGATTCGAGGGAAAAGTCGGGCCCGGATAAAACAATTTTTTTAATATTGAAAAAAATTGAAAACATTTGCGTAATAAGGTTGGTTACATGCCATATTAAGTAAGTTTAGGGAAATTAAATTTTTTATTTGTTTTAAATCTGTCAAATATAATTAAAAAATTATTTAAATATAAATATTACGAAAAATAGCACATCTTTCGGATTAGAGGTAAAATAATTTGTATGTGGCTAGTAAAACACTCAACAAATGTTTTGAGCTAAAACAGCCACTTCACGACAAATTGTGGCTTGGATCTTTTTTACACCATGGGCTTCAATTGTTAAAGAATTTTGTCACGCTCGTGGATGCAAATCAAGTGGTACCTCGTGTGTCTGGCAAGTGTTACTCTTCGCGCAAAGGCTTTATACCTAGATAAACGAATGCTTCGACTTAGGTCTGGGAACTCTATGGTATTTTGGAATTATAAAGAATTTGTGCTTTTATTTTAACAATATTGGTTATATTTAGATGTATTCTTATTAATTGAAATACAGATTTGTAGAAGTAATACTTTTGACAGTTTTTATTAATATAATATATTCAATTTTTATCTGACCATACCGAAGTTGGGAATTTTGATACTTTATAGTAATGTGAAATTTGAATTACAATATTACACGAAATTACATAATTATTACTTATTTTAGGTAGGTACTAAATTTGTACTTGGAGAAAGTAATATCGATTTTTGCAAGAAAACTTGAAAAGTAAATTAATTTAGTTCCTATTTCTGATGTAAAACTTAACCCAAGGAAACAAATAAATAGTAGTTTGTTCAACAAGGGTGGATATGATAGCCATATCATACAAAGACGAAGTTTGAGCACGACGTCGTAGGCAGAGTACTCAATCGTCTGATTGTGATATGAACAATCCACTCGATATGGTCAGTATATTTTTTCTACGACCCACTAACGAAAATCTACAAATTTAAAAAATTATTTTAGGTTATTTAGACAAAATAACTAATTTTAAAATAATTTACGAAGTTGGCTAATTTATAAAATAAAATAAACATGAAAAATTAATTAGTCCTCGGCCTAGATTCGATCCCGGGCTTTTCGCGTGGAAGGCAGATGCTCTGTCCTCATCTTCACCGAAACTTTCAGGACTTTAGTTTTAATACTCGTAATTAAATTAGTATCATGTAGTTGAATTAAAATTTATTTTTTTCTAAATGTGGACACAAAAAAACAAAAATGCTATTTAATATCAATAACTAAAATATATATTGACAATTAGTTTAACAGAATTTTAACTTATTTAAAAAAATTTAAATAATAGGAGTTGGATGACCAAAATATGAACTGTGATTTGTAGATTTAATTTTGTTAAAGTGTTCTCACTACCTAAAATGGATATGAAATATATTCGTAGTTGAACGCAATAGCATATTTTTTCGTTTTGTAGTATGTGCGTAGATTGGCTAATATCCATGCACAGATTACAGAACGAAAAAGTATGCTATTGCCTTCAATTGAACGAATAAATTTCATATCCATTCTAGGTAGTGAGAACAATGCAAAAAAAAAATAAATTCGCCAATCACCGTTCATATTTTAATCAACCGACTGCTATTATTTTTAAAATTTTAAATAAATGACAATTCTGTCAAACTTATTGTCAGTATATTTTTCAGTTATTGAGATTAAACATACATTAAAATAGGTTATTCTTTTGGAAAACGTTAGCATGGATGACTAAAGGGTATTGGGTTAATTAATTCTAAAAGTGTGGTACAATAGTATATTATGCAACGATCATGTAATGATGGTTATTAATACACGAGCATTAACCGGGATACGAAACGAGCCAAAGGCGAGTTTCGTATGGTTTATGCGAGTGTTTTAATAACCATTACATGAGAGTTGCATACGCTATTTTTTCTACACCCGATAAATAATCAAGACCTATAAATATTATATTTATATTGGTATTGAACACAATAACAGTAATTACTCGTATTTCTATAAAAAATTCTACAAAATTGTAATTAATGGTATTACTTCAGGTATTGGTATTTCCCTAGATTTTTGCGGTAAAATATTTTGTACTGTATTTTCTGCTTTCTCCGATATGTGTGGAGGAGTCTTCTATATCGCTAATATCAGACATTTTAATAATATAATTATCGAAGTTTAGCTACCTACGAAAATTTAATACGTTTTGACAACTAAAATAATTACATAGGAACCTAGGACAAACGTCAAACAGCATGCTTGATTGAAAAATTGTAGGTTTCTATTGATTAAAAATCTGTATCGTAATGAAAAATCTGTATCATAATGGGTATCATTATGAAACGGATTATGGGCATATAAGTGCATTATTATAATACGGGTGTAGAAAAATGTTATTTTTTTGTAGCCAATTCTTCAAAATTATTTTGAAATATGTTTTCAATATTGAATATTAGTTTTACAAAGATTTTAGATGCCCTTATTAATATTTTAGATAATCTTAGACTTGACATTTGAAACTTAGTTTTTACTTTTAATAAGTTCTAGGTTTTCTTTTTGGTTCCTTTATAACATTTTATTTTATTTCACCTCAATAATATCTAAACCATTCAAGATTTTACCAAAAGTCTGTGGCAAATGGATTATGTCCGATGCCAACCACCCCTTCACACACACTCTATAAATTCATCATTTGACAGTTGCAGATTTCCAAATGTATCTGAATTGGCGTTATCATATGCCTTTAAAAAGCAAAAATCGTCTAATTCAACGTGATCTTTGTTATATTTAAGACAGGTATCACAGGAGTGGATCCGCAAGGCTTTTATTAAAAGGTAACCACACACATACCTGATAAAATTTTTCTGTAGCAACTCGTCTTTACAATAATTTAGGGTGTTAATAATTTCATCATAAAATAAAATA